ATATTCTGGATATTGTGTTGATCTTTTTTAGATGGAAAACTCATGTTCTTCATTCTAGGATATTTTTTTCTCTGATGATTGCCTCTCATTCTGATTTTCTTAGATACATACTGATTGCATTGTTGGACCACTTAGATTAATATCTTTTTTCTTTTTTAAGTATTCTTATTTCTTTTATGTGCTCCCCTACCCCATGTTTATGAAACTATTAATGCTGTTGAGGAGGAGGATTTTTACCTTTTTCCTTTGGAAAATTGCAAATATATACCAAAAAAATAGTAAAATAAACCCTCAGGTACTTGTCACTCATTCTCAACAATTATTAATTCATAAGCAAGCTATTAATTTTGAAGCATATCTCAGAATTTCATTACATTCATACATATTTTGGAATATGACCCTAATAGGTAAGGACTTTCATTAAAAAAATTATCATTATAAAGACTATAAAAATTAATTTTTTAAGGTCATCAGATATCCCATCATTGTCTAAGTTTCCAGGGGTATCATAATTTAATGTAAAAGACCTCAAATCTGCACCCAAACAAAGTCATTCATACTGTGATTGATTAATGTGCTTTTTAGTCTTAGTTAAATTCCCCCTCCATATATCTCTCCCTCTCTCTTTTTCTCTTCTCTCTTACCTGTGTGCATAGTTTATTGAAGAAATCTGATTATCCAGTAGTTTCCTACAGTCTGGATTTGCTGACTTGCAGGTTGAAGGTTAGTAATGCTTGAATATATAACATATATAGCATAGAAGGCATTCTGAAGACTGCCTTTATGACCAACTTCATTCTCTTAGTATAATGGTTTTGAGGTTAATCCATTTTGTAACATCTATCAATACTTCTTTTTCTTGTATTGAGGAAGAATGATCCATTTTATGTATATAATGTATTTTATCCATTTAAGTATTGATAGATATTTGAGTTATGAATAATTATGAATTTCTGCCTTTATGAATAATGTTGCTGTGAACATATGTGTACAAGTTTTTGTGTGGCCATGTTTTCTTTTGGGTATATATGTAGGAGTGGAATTTCTGGATCATATAACTATAATTATGTAAATAATTTTTGTAATTGTTTAATATACTATTTTTTTTTAATTTTTTTAACGTTTATTTTTGAGACAGAGAGAGACAGAGCATGAACAGGGGAGGGTCAGAGAGAGGGAGACACAGAATCTGAAACAGGCTCCAGGCTCTGAGCTGTCAGCACAGAGCTCATGGATCGCGAGATCATGACCTGAGCTGAAGTTGGCCACTTAACCGACTGAGCTACCCAGGCGCCCCAAATTTACTATTGATAATACATATTAAGAAGTGGTTCTCTGAGAAAATCTAGTCTATAAGTTGTTTTCAAATGCAATGAAAAGTTTACAGATACTATAATTAATACTGATGATGTTATTTGGAAATAAAATGACACATGAATTTTTTTTTTGTTTGTTTGTTTGTTTTTTTATTTGGAGCCTGTGATTTGTTTTTAGGGCTCATAATACTCCTGGGCCTTAGGCATGGTACCTATGTACTGCCTAAGTGTTGCAAATCCTAACATTGCATGAGTGGAACTCAGAAGAAAGCTAAAGTGGTAATGTGACACTTGAACTTTGTGGATACTCAGTGGGACATAATCTGAGTGGGGATGGAAATGGTCATGGCAGGCTGTCAGGCATAGGACCTTGGTGTGGTCCCTAGTAGAGCACAGGGGTGAAGAAGACTCTTGTTTTTATGAGTTACCAGACAGCTTGGAAGATGTAGGAGAATAGTGCAGTGATTGTGGCCCTGTTTCTTTATTTGCTCTATAGTATTCTTACATAAATTCTTAATGAATAAATTATCATGTAAGCAATTCAGATAAAACAAAAGAACTTGGATTTTTTTTAGTTATGTGAGCTTTCTATTGCACAAGCAGAGAATTTAGTAGACAGTTTTAGCATACTTTCAGCTATTGGTTCATGAATTTCTAGTATGTTTCACTAGGCTGGTGTTTTTTTCACCTTGATCTCTGTCTAAGTATGGATTATCACTGCACATGATCCCACTTTACCATAAATCTGTTGGCCTCAGAAGAGAAGTCAAAGGCACTATGATTCATTTGAATCAAAACTTGAATGAAGCTAAAAGACAATCTATGCAACCATTAAAATAATTTACAAGCAGTGGATAGTATGTCCCATTTTTATAAGGGAAGAAAACTGTTATGAAGGGAACATTGACAACTTTTTGATATACAGTTGGAAAATAGGCCCTACCCTCAGGAAATACTCAGATAATTACAGTTCAGGTTGGTTAATACTCTAATAGAAATAAGCATAGAATTCTCATGTAATACATAAGATAGGGCACCTAACCTGGTTTAAATGGGCCCAAGAAAGTTTTTTAAAGGCAGATATACTGAACCAAGGCTATATAGTATCGGTAGGAGTTAGGTGAATGGGTAGAAAGAGGGAGGAAGAAAAAGAATTTTAGGTATAGAAAACAAAATGTAAAGGCTGGTTATATGAATCAGCCTGTTGTGTTCAGTGACCTCTAAGCAGAGAGAAATTACTGGATTGTGATGTTAAGTAAGGGAGTCCCATGAGAAGAGGAACCTGGAGAGAGGCTTTAGTCTAAGGTCAAATCATAGAATCATGTTGTCAATGAGCTTAAACTTAGTGCTATCTATAGTGGGAAATATCAAGCGGCTGTAAGTACAAGAATGACGTCAACTTTTTGGTTTAGGTAGGTAATTCGTCTTTGAGTGTCAGTTCTGAGATTCTGACCTTGAAGGTCATGAATTTAAATTTTTTTTATGTTTATTTTTGTGAGAGCACATGCGCATGTGTGTGCGCAAGTGGGGATGGGGCAGAGAGAGAGGGAGACACAGAATCTGATGCAGGCTCCACATCTGAGCTGTCAGCACAGACCATGAAATCATGACCTGAGCCTAAGTCAGATGCCCAACTCAACTGAGCCACCCAGGTGCCCTGAAGGTCATGAATTTTATTTATTGACCACTGTATATACTCAGAGGCTAGAATGGTACCTGGCAAGTATTTAAGTATTCACCAAAGATGCTAGTTAGGCAGTATACTTGCATATAGCAGTTAAGAGCATGGGATCCAACACAGGTCTGAATCCTCCTGATGCCACCATTAAGTAGTGCTGTGACCTTAAGTGGGTTTCTTAGCCTTAATCACCCTGACTCACTTTTCTTATCTGGAAAATGGAGGAAAGAGTTGGACCTACCTAATCAGATGATTCGGAGAATTGAATGAGTTTATGTAAACCACTTGGAGTAGTGCTTGGATCATAGTAAGTACCATATAAATATTAAGTTATTATTTATTTGGTGAATGAAATTTTAATACAAACTAGAGTTGGTAAGGCTCTGATCCCAGAGCATTTATAGGGTTACACAGGAATGGATGGATTTAAGAAATATTCAGGAACACAGTCGGATAGGATGTGGTAAATAAGAGTGGCAAGGAGTTAAGGTTAATTCCCTGATGTAAAGCTAGAGATTTAGGTTCTCCCCGCCCTCCCATTTCTCCCCTACCCCTTCCCAGCACGCGCGCGCGCGCGCACACACACACACACACACACACACACACACACTCCCTCCCTCCCTCCCTCCCTCCCTCCCTCCCTCCCTCCCTCTCACTCTCACAGATTACTGTTTATCCATTCTGGTTAGTACCAGAAGTTTAAATAAAGCCCAGTGGTTAGTCTTTGGTATGTTGATTCAGTGTGACATATCCTCTTGAATTTTGTTTGGTTTCTTACTGATTCCTTTTCTTTCTCTTCCTCGAAGTCTCTTGGACTCCTTGGATTCTTCTCAGAACAAGTGTAAGAAGGGCTTAGGGCCATCTCCGGTTGTTTACCTACTTTCCTCCCCTTGTCTTCTCTTCCTTTTCTTTATGCTTCTTCCCCTCCTCCCCGTTGATTTCCTACTCCTACAGTGGGAGATAAGAGAAAGGGTTTCCTCCTTAGTTGGCCCTCGCCTACAGACTAGCTTGGTGTTCACAGTTCCAGTCATAATGGAAAACTTTGGGGAGTGTGTTAAAACACGTGTCAGAAAAGTATTCCCTTCAGCAATTAAATTTAACTTTAAAAGAGGTCTCTTTTAATTCTGTTTTTCTGATGTGATATTGAGAAGCGTTTGGAATCTACCACTTGAGCCAGCTAACCTTAGGATCCTTCTGTTACAGAAACCAGCTAACTTGTAGAGTATAGCTTGTCTGGGAGGCAAAAGGAATCTTTTAGCTTGCTGCTAGGCAGGTCAGGGTCACCTGAACCAGAGGTTCCATGCTAGAGCTGTGCTTTCATTAGGAGAATGGGACTGGATACTCCGAGAGTCTAAGATGGAGCCTCAGCTCTCTGCTGCGGCCCTGCTAGTCTTTGAAATCTATACATTTTTTAAAAAATCTTTAAGTTCATGTAAATTTTGCGTTCTACTCTACAATTCATTTGTTTTGATAGAAATGGAAATTTCCTCCCCTAATCTTTTGCCTAAACTAGTGCTCTGGGAAGATAAACCCTTTTACTTTCTTGTGTCTTCTCATATTCCCCCACATACTACCTCATTCCCCAGTTTAAGAAGCACATACGAGGATTTGGAGCCAAAACCTTTTTATTAAGTGTCTCTTGCATATTTCTCATGATGAGTTTCTCATGAGGAGTTGGCGTTTTGGCTAATACAGTCCGGCCTTTTTTTCCTCAACACATTAAGTGAGGCTTCTAAATCTTTGGAACAACATTCTTGGTCATAAACAGTTTGTAGTAAAAGCTTTCCATTTCCCAGAGTTTGTAATGAATGTAAATATTCTATGTAATTCCTCATCTGGGTAGTCATGAAAAGATAGTAGCCAGTGTTTATTGTCTTTTTACTATGTGCTAGGTTCTCATCCCTTTTGTCTATCATGCTCTTGAATTATGCGATGCTTTGAAAACAATTAACTTGTCTGTAGAATTCATGCTAACATTACTATTGTTTTTAATTAACAGATTTCAACACTAAACTTGCACAATGTCTTTGAAACCAAGAGTAGTAGATTTTGATGAGACATGGAACAAACTTTTAACGACAATCAAAGCTGTTGTCATGTTGGAATACGTTGAAAGAGCAACATGGAACGATCGCTTCTCGTATCCTTTAGTGGCATTGATAAATGTTCTTGTATTGATAGTGATATTGTATCAATAACTGTATCAGTGAACGTTGATAAATGTCCTAAAATTGACAAACTTGTTGAAAAGTGAGAACAGGTTTATGCTTTTGTGACTACTTTCAAATGTATTGTTTACATTTCTAAGTTCATCACCTGTATGTGGCAGTAAGCAATCTGATAACATTTCATTTAACAAATACTTATTGAGCACTTATGTATATGGCAGGTATGCTTGAGACTTTGGGAACACAGTTGTAAAACACAAACCACTTTCCCTTCACTCTACTAAGGGAAACAGACAATAAACAGGTATTAAAATAATCTAATGCCAGTGCTTCTATTAACAGGTAGTAATAAATATTGTGGAGAAAAATCAAGCAGGGTAAGGCCATGGAGAATGATTAGAGTATGGCAGCTCTTTTAGATGGGATAATCTTGGAAGGCCTCTCTGAGGATAGTGATATTTGAACTAGACTAAAGTGAGGGAGCAAGTCATACAGATACCTGGGAGAAGAGTGTTCTAGGTAGTGAATGGCAAGTTTAATGACTTGACAGTTAGAAATATGTTTCTTAATTGGTTTGTTTACATTTATGAATTACCAGTTTTATATGAAAATACAAATTTGTGGTTTCCCTAGAACAATCTGAACCCTGATGTTCTGCATTGCTACATGACAGCTATCTTTTTTCTTTTTAAAAATATATACATAATATATATTACTTACAAATATATATAAAATTACTATTCTACCCCAGCACTTGGGGTATAAACTCTGGCACCAAGAAAAAACTCTAAAATATTAAAATACTGCAGCTTCTTGGTATTTGGAAGGTTAAAGGGGTCTCTAGGAACCCTTGGCCACAGGTATCTGGGGCAAAGTTGTGGATGGCAGTCTCACCAACTGTACGCAGTGTCTTCCAGGGCCCAAGGCTGGGTGAGCATGGGGGCAACATATGTACTTTGGAACATATTTACTGTCCGACTCCTGAACTGCTTCAGTCTTTTATCATAGGAAACCCTACACATGTCATGTCTCAGGGTAAAGAAAAGGGATCGGGTTGAGATCTGGTTGTCTCTGGGTCCAAATGGCATGGCAGTAACCCAGGGCCCTGAAGGAGGCCTTGACGACTGGGTGGATACTGTAAAAACCAGATTCTTTCCCCAGAAAGGGAAATTGAAATGTGAAGGTATTAACCAGAATGTGTGTGGAGGTTCAGAGTTCTCAAACTCTATGCTGCCCTCTCTAGCTGTCTTCTGGGTCTAAGGGGTGGCTACCCTCTCTATGTAGGCATACATTCTTTAGAAAAGCTTGGATTTTATAACAGTGATTCAACTTGTTCTCAGTGCCTAACTCAGTTTTTATATTAAGCTGAATATTGATACAAGAACAGCGAAGTTCTTTTAGACCAGTAGCAAACCATTTCTTTCATTACAGTTGTAGTTGTTAGTAAGAAACATTTGTTAGGCTACCTATGTTCTAGGCACTAAGATAAATAAAATGATGGTAATGTTCCTGGGAGCTTTCATAGTTTGCAAAGATGTTTTTATATTACTTGGTACCTCAAACAAGACTGTCAGATTGTGGGGCGGATATAATTATTGTCTTTATGTAACAGATGAGGAAATTGATATTCAGAGATTAAAGGACTTGCCCAGACTCATGCAGGTAGTAACTGAATGAGCACAGACTTGAATATGAGATTTTCAGCATCTAATTCCTATGCTTGCCAGTGTATCTAGAGGATAATTGATATAGATTCTGCCTTTGAAGAACTTATTATTGAATTAATTTTTTCGTAGAACATCATGGATTGGTTTTGGGTAGGAATCTTTTTTTTTCTTTTTTGTGTAGGATCTTAATAAAATGGAACAAGTGTTAAAGGCCACTTGGGTGTTAATGAGATTTCATTAGATGAGTACATAGGTAGTTTTAGGGCTATTTCAACTAAAATAATGAACAGAGAAAGGAGTTGGTCTTAGAAATACCCAACTTCTCTGGAAAGTGCCCGTCCAGTCATTATTATTTCTAACATGTTTATTGTGTGATTCATCCAGTTATTCTTGACCTGTGTGTGAATTTTCTTCTCCTCCCTTTACAGAAAGCTGCAGAAATGGTAAAGTTAAGAATGGAATTTCTTACTTTAAATTTTATTTTGGAAAATAAAGGACTGTGTTACTAATTGTTTTGAAGTAAAATTCTCACCTTTTCCCTATTATTTTTGCTTAAGAATATAAGGTGACTTCTGACCCTCAGATTTCTTAGGTATAAATTTTAGAGGCTGTAAAACTTTAATCTTTTGAAAATGGAAAGCCTCCCCCAACTTGTGTTATCACTATGTGTGATAGTATGTGATTTAAAAAAAAATTTTTTTTAATGTTTATTTTTTTGAGAGAGAGAGAGAGAGAGAGAGAGAGAATGAGCGGGAGAGGGGCAGAGAGAGGGAGACACAGAATCTGAAGCAGTTGACCCTTGAAGAGCACAAGTTTGGACTCTGTGTATCCACTTATAAATTTCTTTTTTTAAATAAATACAGTATAGTATTGTAAATGTATTTTCTCTTCTTGGCAATTTTAATAAGATTGTCTTTTCTTTAGCTTACTTTATGTAAGAATACAGTATCTAATACATATAAAATACAGTATGTGTGTTAACCAACTGTTTATGTTTCACTTGAGGCAAAGTCAGCAGTAGGGTATTAGCTTAGTTTTGGGGAAATGAAAATTTATACGTGTTTTTTTTTTTCTGAGTAGCTTGGTGGGCCTCACTCACATGTTGTTCAAGGGTTAACTGGTACATATGTTAAAAAATTCCTAAGATGTACATGTGGGATTGAACAGATAATTATAAAGCAAACACCCGCATAATAACTGCACAGGTTAAGAACTAGAACACTGCCAGAATCCAGTTCTCCCCCCTACTTACAGGTCTGTCTCAGTTCAGGATTCCACTCCTTTACCTTGGAAGTAACTACTATTCTGAGTTTTGCAACTGTTGTTTCCTTGTTGTTGTTGTTTGTTAATAGTATAACTGCTTATATATACAGCCCTAACAATTATTGGTTATTTCTGTGTTTGGAACTTTATATATATAAATGGAATCATACTGTGGTACATTTTTTGTGTGTGTCGTAATTTTTTCTTTCAACATGTATATGTATGGAATTAATTTGTTACCAGTGACATTGTGAAATATGCATTACTAGCCCCATTTTACAGTTGAGAATGTTGTGGCTTACTGATGTGATAAGATGCTTTACTGATACTGTAGGATAGAATGCGGAGGTAAAATGCTCAAGTCCCCTTATACTCTTTTTTAAAAAATTTTTTTAATATTCATTTTTGAGAGAGAGAGCGCACAACCAGGGAAAGGCAGAGAGAGAGGGAGACACAGAACCTGGAGCAGGCTCTAGGCTCTGAGCTGTCATCACAGAGCCTGATGTGGGGCTCAAACTCACGAACCATGAGATCATGACCTGAGCCGAAGTCGGATGCTTAACTGACTAAGCCAATCAAGCGCCCCCTCTAATATATATTCTGTCAGGCATGTTTTCCAACACAGACCAGGTTTGACTACATTGAAAAATATTGAAGTAGGTCGTATCCATCCTTGACCATCCTGACAAAAATTTTAGGAGAACTTCTTACTAACCTTGGCACTTAGTAGCCCATCATTCTTAGATGGTACACATTGGAAAATGTTTTATCTGTAGTTGTCTCTGCTTGAAGCATCAGTAACATTTTCACTCTATTCCAAATTAAATCAGAGTAATTCAGTTATTGTGATTCTGTAGTTACACTTAAAATTTTTCCATTTAACCAATAATTTTATATCCATGCTTGCTAGTAGATGATTTCATAGATACTGCATCTTTTACATGTTGTGTGTTTTTTCTTCCTCTTCAGAAATGTCAATAAAGAAGATCTTTATCTTTTATTGCCACTACTGTTTTGGTCATTGTACCATTTTCAATTTTCAGATCATCTTTACCTTTTTTTTAAAAAAAAAACTAAACCAGCACTGTTTAAAGTTTGTTTCCTATTATATGTAGTATACATAACTTAAAGCACATCTGTACAAATCTGCAAGCTATATCTTCATAATGAGAACCCATTGTACTTCTCTTCCTTGGGCTTGGTTTTCTTTTTTTCTTTTCTTTTTTTAAAATATAATTTATTGTCAAGTTGGCTAACAGAGTGTATACAGTGTGCTTTTGGTTTTGGGGGTAGATTCCCATGA